TCAATTTAATAGTCAATATGACTATTTTTACTATTGCTATATGACTGTTGCTTTTTAAAGTTGGATGGATTCTATGATTGGCTGTCAATATTTTTTTTTATTGTTCATTAGCTTTTGAAAGTGATTTTAATAATGTCGTTCCTCTGTTATGAGATGTGGATGTCTCTATTATCATAGAATTAGTATTATAGTTATTGAGTTATCATCCTTGGTGTGAACAGGCCTTGATTCGAATCTTGATCCTTTGATTAAGGATGTGTTCACATTTGGCAGGTTTGGTTCAAATAGACTGGGAAAACATTTTCAGGTGGGAAGATTTTTGTTTGTGTGTGACGGAGGGTTGTCTACATATTTCTCAGTTCTCAGCTAGTAAAAATACCATGTGTACAACCAGCACATTTAGCCCAGAATACAGCATTGTTTTTTAAATTCGGTAAGTTTGGCCACAAAATTGGTCTTAAAAGCTGTTTTATTGTATCTCTAGAAAAAAATCAATCATTTTCTTTTGTGGCCCAGACCAAAATAACCAAGAGAACCGAACAACAAGATTCAGATTTTAGATTCTGTTCCTGACTCGTGCCAAATGTAAGTCTTTGAGTGGTTCTGATTGGCTTCATCCAATGCCTTCAGAGGACGGATTCCAAGGTAGAAAGGCATCAAGGCACGTCCCAATCCAATGTTATCTTCACTTCACCTGAGATACCTTAATCTGATTGATTTTTGAAGCATAGATGTATCCTTCACTGCCTTTAATAGCCCACAATTCTGTGCTTTCCATTCTGTGACAGTAAAAAATAAAGATGAAAGTTGCCGTTGGTGGTCAGTCTGTGTGCAAATGTACGTTTTTGACCAATGTTTTCCACTTCTGCTGCAATTTGTGATACATTTCTATTGTAGTAATTAAATACTCATTTATTTCTCACCAAAGCTCGCTCTTTTGCTGTAGATCATTAAACCGTTATGCTACCTCAGAAGTCTGTCTGAAATCAGTTTCATTGTGCGCAGACGCTGCCTACAAAGTCACCTCTCTCTTGTAGGAGTATATTTAATTGGGTATATAGGTTTTTAGTACCATGGGCTGCTTTGTCAAGTAGTACTTGTGTAGTCAAGGCTATGAGAGATTGTTGATCTGGGTAGAACTATTTACCCATAACTCTCCATACAGTGCACATCAGGTGTGTGTGTGTGTGTGTGTGCATAAGGCACTGATGCACAATCCAGCATCTCTCTGATTATCCTCCCACGGCAACAGAGGCCTGATTGTCATGGTTACGGCCATGGTTAAGGTCACAGACACGCCTGTCTGGGGCATGATGTAAATTAGAGGTTGTGCTTTTTATCAAGGGTCACCGTCCTGGGTCCCGACCCTCTGGTGGCCTTTGGCCTTTTCTCACCTGTTTGTGATCGATGGATCTGGAAGGTTTGATTGATTGCCCATCAAAATTGACACAGGAGCAAACTGAGATACTGCTTATCTGCACACGCACATTTGAGGTCACATATGTCGGTGCATGTGCAATTGAATGTGTCTTCAGGTAATATATGTTCCCTGTTTACATGCGGTGTGATTTCTAATTCAGTTGCACGGCAGCCAATAGTAGTTGATGTGGCTTTGAGTAGCAGAAGGCCGTCCCACCCACAAGATCCCTCAAATTCAATTTGGAATCAGAGGGCAGAGAAGAGGTGAGCGACTCAATATCTCATTCGTTTCAACAACACACAAACACGCACACATCACAAATACGCCAGAAATAGACCCCCACCATACTGCTACCCCACTTTAAACCTCAGATCTCAAGAGCAGGACTTATTGAAGACCACTTGCCCAAAGTAAATCCCCCCATGCCCTACTCTCCACACATGCCGGGTAATGACTTGGCTTGAGTTTTAATGTCTACCACTGCCCCTGGGAAGACAGCGTGCATCTTTTTTTAAATTATTATTATTGATAAGCTCACAAAACAGCCCTGGCATTCATCAGGAACGCTAAATGTTAAATACTCACTGAAAATGTTCATCAACCTCCTGCTATACCTTCACTCCTCCAGCCTGTTAGTGAGGGAGGAGGAGAGAATGTGATGGAGGAAACGCTCCAGTGCTTGGAGTCGCAGTGCCCCCGAACTCTAACCCGTGATAGATTGGGTGCTCCTGCAGCGTGACAGACGAGCGATTGATGGAAGGAATGGTGGATAGATGAAGGGAGAAGCGTAGAGAGATAGTGTAATGGGAAAACAGAAGGAAAAGAAGCTTAACGCGGGTGCTTTCTTTAATTGTATACATACAGTACATATGTGTACAATTTTACCTATTTAATTTGACCAATTTTTGGAACAATAATGATACTATTATACAAATTATATAATTATTGTTATTATATATTTTTTTTCCAGTTATTACAGTATTCCGACATCAGTGGTTCCATGAAGAACCAGTTAATAACCATAGAACATTTCCATTGCATGAAAGCTTCTTTACATTGGAAAAAAAAGGTTTAATTAGATATTCTTTGAAGAACTGTTTACTGAAAGATTTTTTTTGTGTAAACCAACAATGTTTTTTGGCATCATTGTGAAAACCCCCATTTGGAACTTTATATTTAGGAGTGGTGTTCCTGTAGTTTACATGTAGTTCATATAAAATATAAATATACACTGTAAAAATGAATATGATTTATCTAATCAAAAAAAAAAAATTGTGGCAACAGATTACAAGCAATATTATTAATTAAATTTAACAAATTAGTTTTGAGTAATAATTAATCAAATTAATTCCTTAACCATTTAAAATGAGTAAAACTTACAACAACCAAAAAAAAAACAAAAAAAACAAAAAAAAAAAACACACAAATTTAAGTCACCATTATGGTGATCGGTGTTTGTTTTAGGTTTGTTTTAAGTGATTCTGTTTGTTAACATCAGGTGTCTTCATGGTTGGCAATATAAAATAAAGAGTTCTTAATTAATCTTTGACATCTATTTGATAGTGAGATATTTTTGTTATTTTTTTTTGGTGTAAACTTTACTCATTTTAAATGGTTAACTTTTAAGAAATAATTTGATTAATTATTGCTCAATTCTAATTTGTTCAATTTAATTAATAATATTGCTTGTAATCTGTTGCCACAATTCTGATTAGATAAAGCATATTCATTTTTACAGCGCATAAAATATATAACTCATGGGCAATTTATTAGGCAAGTGGCTGTAACTCAATGCATTCTTTTGGGATGGACAAGACGAGCTGCTGTAGTTCAATCTGAGCATCAGAATGAGGAAGAAAGCTGATTTTTTGTTAAATGCCACAAAGAATGAAGACAGTTCTGAAGGCAAAAGGGAGTTCAGTAGCAAGTGTGAGTGTAAATGTAAAAAGTTATTCAACAGACATTATGTGTTGCTGACATAATTCCTGTGGGCATTTTGCACTCGCCTTTCATAGTTATAAGATAAGCTGAAAGATTTGCAGGGACGAGATAAGTGATTTTATCACACTAAAATAGTTTTACACTTCATTTATTGATTTTTGTTAAATTTACCAATCGAGCGACAAATGACAATCATTTTCTGTGGTAATCGACAGCATCTAAAGTTTGTTTTGAAGCCAGAATGAAATAATATTGAATATTCATGATCAAACCCTTATTATTCATGGACTACCACAAAATATTCATGATATCAGTGCCTTTGGCTATCATGTGTTTTCAGAGCACAGAAATTATTCTATACTAATTTCATCTGAGATCTAATCTTGTCAAAATTCTGGCAGTGAGGAAGGCTCGACTCGAGGTTTGTCTGTCTCTGTAATGGAATTTGTTTCACTGCACAGAGTTTAAGCACAGCTAGTGATTCAGTGCAGCAGGGCATCTGAGTCTCTCCCTCTCTCTCTCTCTCTCTCTCTCTCTCTCTTCCGGCCTCCACGGCACAAGCGTCATTTGTTGACTGGCAGGCAGCGTGCCAGGAGCAGCATCAGTAAAATGCTGCTGAATTATACAGCTTTTACAACTCACGCTATAAAGCAGCCATTTAAGGGGAACTTTGCCATTTAAAGCAAAGACATAGTGTTGCTGTTTAAAGCTTTTATTGTCCATAAAACAGACTCACATTGATTGTCAGGGAAGGACCCTTCAGGTTCACTAGAACTTAAAATGAATGTGATACAGGTGCGTGTATTATGTTTCAGGCATATACATGATAAATATGATAATTCCTCTTTATATTCCTAAAAAAATATTTCTTTAATTATATGTTGATGTGTATATATATATATATATATATATATATATATATATATATAATACTTATAAATTAGTTAAATGAACATACATCTATGTACATATCTATGTACACATCTCTCTCTCTCTGTATAGCCTATATATTGCTTACATACATAATTACACATTTCACACCAAAATTAAAAGAGTAATTTTATTTTGTAACAGAAAATTATGATATGATTTTTTTTTTATTGTCTGTAAAGGCAGCTACTACTATACACTATGCACTTTTGAGTCCATGACAAATTTCCCCTAAGGGACAATAAAGTATATTCTATTCTATTCTACTCTATAATAGAATAGAAACTTTTTTGCATTACAAAAATTCATAAATTTTCTAAATTTAATAAAAATGTATCAAAATAGAATAGAATTTCTATTCTATTCTGAGACATTTTTATTAAATTTAGAAAATTTATTAAAGAAAAAATCGTATCAACCTAATCATATCGACTGAATTATCAATTTTCTTATTTTTTTGTCGTAAGGTTTTAGTTTCTTTCATCCATGTGTGTGTGTTGTATGTGTGCAGGTATTTGTTTGATGAATTGGTGGCTGCTGTTTCTTACTCTCTGTAAAGCTGTTTAAGAATCCAGTCACATTCTAGACCGGCAGTAAAAGAGCCCTCTCCCCCTCCTTTCTCTCTCTCCTCCCTTCATCGTTTTCTCCTTCCCTGTAGCTCTTTCACACTCCTTTCTCTGTGTGCCCCCCTTTACCTCCCCCATCTCGCTCTCTCTCTTTCTCTCCGTGCAGCTGATAAACCCTCTCACTGCGTTTCCAGGTCTGCCACCCTCACATCAACTAGACACTGATCTCTGCCAAGCTGTCAATCAAACACGGTACAGACGACTGATACGCAGGTGAGAGACAGACACCGAGAGAGAGAGAGAGAGAGAGAGAGAGAGAGAGAGAGAGAGAGAGAGAGAGGAGGAGGAGGAGGAGGGAAGGGCTGCAAGGTCTCTCTTGATTCCTCACCGTCTCTATGATACACTTTCTCTCCGTTTTATGACTCTCGCCCCTTCATCTTTCTCCTCGTTTCTTGTTTGCGTCTTTTGGTTTTTGTTTAGTTTCGTCTGCCAGTATAAACACACCTGCCTCGTCCTCGCAGGTTTGACACGCCAGTGATTGACAGCCGCACCGAGGGGCGTTCAGTCAGCGCAAGGGTCTGAGAAAGAGAACGAGAGAGCACACTAACAAACAGTATGGCGTTTTAAATGTCATTCTTCATATCTGTCCACTTCAGAGTGTGTGTTCAACCCGTATCACACTGCTGCAGCCTCAACGCACACACACACGGCGGCCGGAGACCAAAGCAAATCTACTTATTGTGAGCTCCTTTGTATTATTTCTTTTCGTGCTTGACACACAGAAAGTGAATAATCTGGTGCAAGCGATGCGATAGCGACCGAACAAAAGAGATATTCATTCAGCAAAATGCCAGTCATCATTTTCAGCAGAATATATCACGGTGATATAACATGCTGGGCATAGCACACAAAACCATATTATTTGTCAAAATTCATTTTGGGACATATAGCATACACTTTAAAAAAAACGTCAATGTGCCTCTTTCTTTAGAGGTTCTCAACCTTGTTGTGTTCATCTAAACCCTAAAGTGCAAAATTGGTTAACATAATACGCCATATGATTTTAAGTAATGGGCCAAATAAATTAAAGTCAGCATGAAATGGAAATTTGACGTATATCAAACAGCTTCTTAAACTATACTCTTGGATAGTTGCCGTTTGCTAGTAGAGTTCTGTGATGACTTATTTTTGCAGGCTAATCCAGAAGTTAGCATCACCCAATATATATTTTTTCCCATCTGATTTTGGATTATAGCAGAAAATAGCCTATTCTTCACAAATGAACAGAACTTCAATGAATTTTGAAACCTAAATGCAATCGCCTTCTATAAACAAACTATGTGGTTGCCTGACTCTTTCAGTCTTTGTTTAAAAACATTTTCCCTGAATGTTCAAGTTATAGTTATGATAGGCTATGAAAGCCAATAGATGACTTTACCTGTTCGGCTGGGGATGTTTAATGTCCCTGACAATGACCTTATTTCAGTCAGGCTATTTAACCAAAACCCACTCACTGCATCCAAATATACTTTAATGGTAGGTGAAAACCATATAGTATGACCAAATTCATAGTAGGCTATGTGAAAAGTACCTGGATGACCTTCGACCTCTGGCGAGATTCTGAAGTGTGCATTTGATAGACACTTACTGTCCCATAAGTCCATGGGAGAGGATTTGTGGATTGAGGTGAAGTGACACAACTGACGACGTATGTCAGATGATAGTGACAGCATGGCAGATGTTGTACGTCCAAATTTCATTCATACTTCACATTCATACTATGATTTTTAACAGTCGCAAAGTAAGTTTCAAATCAAATGTAGTACTTACTAGGCTATATGCGATTTTGGACACAGCAATTGACTTAGTTTTGGCCTACAAAATTACATCATCCCTGCAGCACATTACTGTGATTTCATGCAAGCGGGAAGTTTCTTGATGCGATAGATCTTTGCCAGGGAAACGGTTTGAAAACAGTAATTCTGTGTGCCAATTCACATAATATCCACCCTTAATAGTATTCTAGATTAGTGATCAACCTAGATGATTAGTATATGAAATTGGGATGCAAGGATTATTTTTGCAATTCTGTTTGTTGTGTTTGGTACAGAAAATACAGGTCACCTTGTGTTACCACTTCTCACCTGAGATAACATTTTCTACAGTGAATTTTGTCCCCCAAATACCCCAAATGTTCCCAGCATGACAAAAGAAAGTGTCTGAAGCAATTACAATTAGCATTATTGCAACATAAAAAATATGATGATAGTGAAAAAGCGTGTGACTCTTGATGTACTGGTGGCTGAATAACTGATCAGTTGGAGAAATAAGAGCCACCATCATCATATGAACAGGGTGAACGCGTGGGGTCACATTCAGTACAGCAATAGCATGACATTCACATTGCATATATAAAGCATAATTGTAACCCAAACCGGTGAGGTGTCTCTCCATGGCAGGGGCCAAAGAACTTCAGCACACTAAATTCAGCTTTATTCAACCATCCATTATGTAATTACACTCACGCATACACACAGACACAAAGACTTGAGCAAATGATCGTCTAATTGGTGCGGAGCGGTTAACTGTATGTGTTGCTGTCCTTGTTGATTAGATTCTGTTTCAGTCTTTGCATCTGAATGTAATGTGTGAGGTGTTCGTGTGTTAGCGCATTAGCGAGGTGTCGGAACGAGGGGCCCATCAGCTCGTTAATGAGCAGAAACGCTAATCGTGTTTCACAGTGACACAAACGCAATTAAAACATCTGTACCGCGGCGACCTGATCTTGCACGTCTTTCTCTCCTTTCCCTTAATGCTAATGTTTTGCAAACAGAGAGTGAGAAGTTGACTGTTATTTTGACACCTGTCAATCATATTGGCTTAAAAGTCTTAATTCAGAGCAGTGATGTCTCACTTTTCATGACAAGTAGATAATAGCCAGTATGAAAGCTGCTGCCATGATGCTAAAATGTTTATATAGTGATGAAAATACTAATCAATACATTAGGATGCAAGCTTATAGCTATTGATAAGCATTTGTGGTCAAACACACTCAGCATGCAGAAAAGGCCTTTAACAACCCAAAGAAAGGCGCATGTCTCTGCAGGGGAGTGGGGTTTCTCATTTATTATGACAAATTAAACCAGCGTTTAGATTATGATATCCTAAAGCCCGCGCTGCCTCGCTCTCTCCGTCCCACCCACAGCCCTCCCTCATCCTCTCTAAAATGATGCATGGATAGTCGGCCCGGTGTTGTCCTTATGATGGATAGAGCACTTTGGGGAAAATTTCAGTTCACGACCACCCTTGAAGAGAAGCTTAAGTAAAACTCTCTTTAATATTGTAATGGAGAACAGAGAGAGAGAGAGAAGCACTCAAAATTAAACCCCTTTAGATGATCTAATGTATGCTATATGATATGAATGCCATGTAACTTTGAGAGGAGGATACGGGATGATTGATGCTCATTTTTGCTGTTTTCCAGGTTCAATGTATCCAGGAAAGAGATGCAGATTAGGACCGTCATAGTGTGGATTTCAGGTGATTTCTGTGGACAATGAGAAGTAATTATCATACTAAAGAGATATCAGACCACCTGCTGGTGTTTAATACACTTGGATGGCCTAACACAGACACATAGACCTTGATATTATAAAACCAGCGGCGATAAACAGGTCAGATGTCCATTTATATATCAGTGCTTTTTAAAATATAGACAAAAATTAAGTTAAGGTATCACACATTGTAGAAATTTGAATAGTGTAGAATGAAATGACAAACAGAGCGATTTTAAACCCACTACCATTGGCTCCAATATGATAATGAGATTGTAATGATATGATAATTGTATGGTAATCTGGTAAGGTTATTCAGAAGGGGAGGGGAGGTTTCTGACGGAGCAACTGTCAAAATGCCACACGTTATAAACATTAAAAAACACTAACTGAAATACATAGTGAAGGATAACACTGGATGAGACGGCTTCTATAACTCATAATTAGAAAATCAAATAATGCAAGCCAAGTAGGCTAACTAATAAACGGTTGCATTGTGATGAAGTGATAGCTTAGCCTACTTACAGACAGGATCAAAATAAGAAGCATTAAATAGCTAACATGCCAAGACTGGCATAAACTGACAAATATACAGGACAGAATAAAACTTCACTGTCCAGGAATAATAAATATCGAGGGCTGGAAATGTATGTGTGCTGCTCTCTAGTGTTGAGTATTTGTTATTGCGTAGACATCTACTTGTTTTACATAAGTTTTTCCCCCCACAGTAGTTTATTATGCCTATTAATTTTTTTTACACCAATTAGACCTACGCCAGTCTCTCAACATCGTTTCCACCATATGTTGATACCACTTGAGTAGCGTTTTTTCATTACTTTCCAGCTTTTAATAAAAGTTTTTTACTTAAGGAAAAGCGTCAGCTTTTCCAATTATGATTCCAATTATCAAAAAGATTGAACCTATCATTAAGCTGTGATAAATAAAGATATAACCTGTTATAACTGATCTTCTTCTTTTAAATCTTTGACCTCTTCTTATATAAATTTAAATAGGCTATGCATTCTAAATAAATAAAAAAGGGATTGTTCAAATGAAGTGGTAAAATTAAATCCAAATAGCAGGTTTCAAACAGAAGCTATGTTGGTTTATGTTGGCCGGTTTTGTCCTTATGTTATTGTGACGTGTCTTTGGTCGGAGTGACTCAGCAGCTCTGGTGACGGTCAGTTGATGTGATTACAGACTTGAGGTCATTGTTTGTGCATGTTTGTTTATTAAATCAAATCAATTGCTGTTCTTCAGAGTAAGAAATATTTCTACAGCAACCTGAACCATCTAACTAAAATTTAGCACTGGCATTTAGCAATTTTGGTCTGCAACCAATCAATTCATATCCATCCATCCAGAAGCTGCATTTTGAGCCCTTCTTGTTCTTTCTGACAGTTTTAGCCTACATATCCGAGTTGATTCAGTCACTGATGATTGAAGTGGTGGAGGCCATCAACAACTCCTCCATGTTGAAAAATCTCACATTTGGCCAGAAGATCTAATTTAAATGATAAAATTGCAGCTTGATGTCAAGTTTCGTGATCACTATGATAGTGGTTCTAATTTTTCATAACAGTGACTTGATATGCTAATTTAGGTATGGGCAAAGGCATATTTTGTGTATGGTCATATTCATTTATGGGTAATTGAAGAGAAATCAATGGGTGCATATAAAAGCTATTTACACTACATGACAGTAAATTTTATTCACTATTCGTTTTAGGGCTCATTTCCATTCACTGGTAAAACTGGTCTACCTATAAAAAAAAGTAAAAAAAAATACTATTTGATGATATTTTAAATATTTGTAAAAAAAATGTGTTGGTTTAACTTAAAAAAATTAAGTAACCTGGTTACCTTAAGAAAAAGTGAGTTAATACAATGAAACTTAAAATAATAAGTTATCTGAACTAAATAAATAAAGAAAAAAATGTTGTGATAACAAATCTTGAAAATTTTTTTTACAGTGTAATCTCCATTCTGAGTCGCAAAGAAAGAAGTAGATTAATGCTCCACACTAGTGTGTTTACAGTAGCCTAGTCCAACCAAGCGAAATATCTAGCTAAATGAGAGTGTGTATATGTGTAGACTTCGACTGTTCATTTGCCACTCATGCCAGTTTCTTGACTACGCTGATTAGAAGCAGTATTCCTCAGCTGTCAGACTGACTGAAAACAATCAAAGGCTCCATACCCCCAATCACCACAGCTCTCTCCCCGAGCGCCGCCGCCGCAATCAGCCGCTGATTAGGGAACCTGTCGCCCTTCTCCAGCCTGCAGCGGGGGTTAATTCCTGCGTCAGATGGTGTCGCAGAGGGCCACGCAGAGGGGAATGAGAACGTGAGCTGGATGATATTGGACGGATAAAGCCGCCTTGTCAATCACTTGGGATTCACTGTAAAGGCTCAAAGACTCTCTTCATCTCTCTCTTTCCCCCTCTCCAGGGCTGGGATAATCTATTTAAGCCAAATGTGTGGATGCACCAATTAAATCAGACACTGCTTGGAAATGTTTGCCTATTTTCAACACCTGAAAGCAATCTGATAACATGGTTGGATAAATAATGCATTTACCTTGCATTGCACATAACATATTGCATATTTTATTTCTCTACTGATTCTATTTTTTCATTGCTACTTTTACATATTTATCTTTTACATATTTTACATATTTATGTTTCTCCCCATAGCCAATATATAGATTTCTGTTATTTTGCTCTATTTTATTTTGTCTCTCTGCAGCTGAAAGAAACAACACTGAATGCGGTTTGTTTAGAAAAATAAACCGACTGATTTCACTAAATGATCGATTTGATCAATTGACTTTATCATTATATTAGAGAATTAGGCATAGTTATTGTGAATCGATAAAATAATATTATTTTATTTATGATTTATTTGGTTTATTTTTCTTAATTTCTTAATATGAAAAAAATGATTTACCACATTAAATAACATGTTAATAATGCAATCTTTCTCTGCACTGCACTGCGGGACTTTTATGATCAGCTTTTTATTAATATCTCATTAAGTAATTTATTAATTTCTCCAGGTTGATTGTGAATTATATCCTATACAATGACAATTAATGAAAAAAATAAAAAATAAAAGTGTGCTTTTGTACCAGTGTTGTAATGGGACACTGGGCGGAGATTAGTGTATCTGCGCATGTGCGGATATGAGTCATTGTAAAGTTTCGTTTAGTTTAATCTCAGCTCAGTTGAGAACCCCACCGTTTTTGGATAAACCAGAAGCGGAAAACCAAGGTATGAATTTGTTTCATAACATATTTTATTTACCAAAGTGGAAAAGAGACACTAAAGCTTTCGGTTTAAGGTAAGTTTGTCCAGCCGTTATACAGATGCGTCTTGACGTCACTCATAGCATGTCGATGTATGAGTTTAGTTGAACGTTTTTGTTTGTTTTGGTGTTTGTTTACAATAACAAGGTGTGTTCACATGCTAACATGAGTCTAAATACATTTAGTTTAGTTGCTAGTTAGTAAATAAAGCAGGCTTTTATACTCAACCAGCGTCTAGATATGACATTCCTGACATCAGCTGTCAGTTTGGCAACAGTTAGTTTCCACATCATAAAGAACTTGTTTTAGTCATGCAAAGTGTTGCTAAACTATGTCATAACACTAATCGGCCTACACTATTCACCCTGTTTGACAGACAGCCTATGCATGTGTGAGCTGTCTTAACTAAACTGACATATCTTAAAATATGTCCGTGTAATTGTTCTGTCTCAAGATGCACATTGTACAAAAGACAATGTACATTGTCTTTTTCTAAGGCAAGGCATGTTAAAAAAAAACTATTGAAATGTACTAATTGAACTAAGGCTTAATCCTGGCTTTATCTAAGCTATGTCTGTGAAACCAAGCCTATGGGAAGTTAATGTAACTGGTCTTTAGAGAAGTAGAAAGTAAGAAGTATAATCTTGCGTCCTTACATTAGGTGAAATTATTTAGTTATTTTCTAAAATTAAATCTCTGCTGAAATATGTTTTGCTTTCACATCTGTCGGTCTTCAAAGTTCCCTCAGACACATTGCAAACCAAAGAATTTCCCACTTCTGTTTTTGTTATTTGACACGCACAGTAGGATTGTGACTTGTTACTGTAAAGTGTTCTGGAGGTAGCTACACTATATATTTTTATTCAGTAATTTTGTCTTGTTCTCCAGTACCAATATCTAAACAACAAGGGGTCATTGGATGCCCATTTTCCACAAGTTGGGATGATTCTTTAGGGTCTTCATGTAAAGTTTGTAACATACTTTGGTTAAAATTCCTCAATGGTTGTGTAAATCAACAACTTATTTACCTCCTCAAAAACAGCTCTGTTCACAGCGACCCGTTTCAGTGTCTCTTTAAATGATGATGAGCAACTACTCACCCAACCCCTCTATCCCCAATCCCCATGGGACGTGTTGACAAAAGACATGTAAAAACAGTGGGACAGTCTGTCAGTAGTTGTGGGCGGAGCATGAGCAATATGACATCATATTGCACAGAAAATATGAACGGCTTGATTATTGAGAGTGTTTAGGCTTTTTGTGAATAAAAGAAGGTGAATGGATTTTTTTTTTTCATTGTATTCGTCTATGGTGGTTGTGTCCACAGACTGCAAAGACACCCTTATATGAAAACACCATAATGCATCCGATGGCCACTTTAAATCAAGATACACTTGTTTTGATTAAAACAACACACAAATTTAATTCAAAGGGAAAAAACAAGATTTTCCATACCTCACTGACAGATATTTTTCCTATTTTTAAGCATAAACTCACTTAATTTTGACCTAATATCTTAACTCTATATCATTGTCTTGATTATGTTTTTTTTGTTTTGTTTTATGTACATTTGTTAATCTGTTTTTTTGTTGTTGTTGTTGTTGTTTAGAGCCACTTCAGAGTGAGTAAAACTCTTATGCATGACCACCGAACAGTGAAAACGCAGAGCAGTATGTAATGATATATGATTATATTCCTTGATTTAAACATGAGTCACCTGACCAAGTGAAAAAATCATCTAAAAGCAGAAGAAGAACTGTAGGAGGACATAGACTCCACAGACACAGGGTGGAGTGAAAAGGGGCTTAGATTATGACTAAGGATATAATGGTAGTACATTGAATCATTGTGATATCACATGACAACATAAGGTTCAAACGTTTATCATGAATACAGTCACCAGTAATCCACAATTTACAGCGTTATCATGTCCACAAAGCCCTCCAAACCTTTTTTGTGTAAATGGAACATAGTCATGTGATCTATTCTAGACCAAGGGGTTTTCAAATCTCAGGAGATCACCAGACCATTGTGTAATTCTGTTTTGTTTGCAATAAAGTTATAAAGGAGCCCCTCTAGAGTTTGAACTGAAATGCATGCGACATTTCACGTCCTTGCATTGATTTGCCATTCACAACACTGAATGGAATCTCATGTGGCGGTACCAGTGATGATATGACTGAGAATGAGATGGCATGCTGTGATCTATTCTTGGTATATAGACCTTATTCAGAGCAGTGCCATGACAGGTATGAAAGTGAGGCTGTGTGGGATAGACTTACCGTGTTTCCAATGGCCGCTGTAAAAAGCTAAATAAAGCTCCTAGATTACTTACAATTTTCCACAGCTTATATTGTCGTGAGTTTTTTGTCAACTAAAATTTCTTGGAAAGATATTTTTCCTGTGTTTCATGTGCAGAACAAAACGAAAACACATTAAATAACAGTACAGCCCATTGAAGAGATGCATGTCTATCCCTCACAGCCTCGCTTTCATTCTCATTAAAAATCAAAGATGGCGCTGCCGTGAATAAGGCGTATACTTTGTTCAGACTTACACCAGTTTACCTTTAAAATAGTGTTTGAAACCAACCTATGATGAACCACATTATTATTTATTTTATTATTATTTGTTATTTACACATAATTTTGCTGCCCTACTGACTGGAATAGTTTACAGAAAGGACAGAAAATTTATGCAAATATGCTTATATTTGTTCAATCTTTTACAAAATTGGTCATTAGTGCTTTGAACAACTGCTTTTTTGTGTGTTTTTGTATATGTCTCTGAATGTAATGCATGTACAGCAATGGCCAAAAGTCAAGTTCGGACTTTGATAAAATTGACATCTTTATTTAATATTAATAAAAATGAGTAAAAAAATTGCAATCCTCTAATGTAGTTGTGTTTGGAGTCAATTGTTTTATTTGTAATTTGTTAATTTAATTTTTGGCCAGGCTGTCATACTAATAAATTACGAACGCATGCAAAAACAAGAAAGAACCAATATGAAATATTAATAACTCATTATATTGTAGTCAATATATGTTTTTTCCAGCGAGCTTTTTGTTTTTCTATGTATTTTTTTTGCACAGTAAAATCAAACCTGTTGCTGTAGTTTGCCTTTTTTGCCAAATAATTTTGTCAGAGAAGTACCTTAACCAAGTTTTTGGCTTTTTTTAGTCTTTTGTTCTTCACTCATATTTAATGAAACTTGTTGAGGGTGTTTCTTTTCCTGCCATAGGTCATTGTAAATAAGAAACTGACTTGTCTGTATAAATGAAGGTGAACAAACAAACAATAGTCACCTGTGATGTTGATGGCATATGTGCCACTGAAATGGATCTTTTCAGAGACAGCAAAAAAGCTGTTTGTGTGCCCTGAAAAGAAATCCTTGTATAATTTGTATCTGCATCTACTCCAGATGGCCTCCACATGGTGGGGGCAGCTCTCTATGTCGGTGGATAATGGCACTGTCCATGTGGACAACAGTAGCTGTTTCAGTGCCACGCAGAGCACTGTGCTGAAGGGGGTGAATTTCGGAGGTGTACCCATCGTTCTAATGCTCGATTGTATAGTCTTCCTGGTAAGTTAGTTGGGATTCAGTTGACTTGCGCTGTTAGCGCCATCCAATTACATCTGCACCAACCAATCAAACCACATAATGCTGTGTATCATCCTGCAGGTGCTGCTATTGGTCTTCACTGTGATCAGAAGGAGACTGTGGGATTATGGGAGACTCGCTCTTGTTGCAGAGACCGAAGGGTATGTGACATTAAGGCAGTACTAGTTGCAACAGAAACATACAGTGCCATACTGTTACTATAGGAAACATAGTGTCTAAAAATGTATTGTGAAATAAAACGTTAAACTAGCCAATATTAGTATTTAAAAAGATTGCCGTTTCAGAGACTTCAGTAAACGACATTACCGTAGAATGACATCATCCGTATCCATTGAGGAGCCTGAGTACGAGAAGGTGAGTTTAGAACACATCATCCTCATTATGACATCATTCATGACATCATCAACATCTTCCTCATTTCCTGTAGGGTTGCTGCTCTTGGGTCACCTTTATCGTCAATATGGAGTAAGTGTTGTTATGTTTATACCCTGAATGCTTTTGCCTGTTGATATTGTCACTTATTCCTAATTTAAATAGGGAAGTGCACGTGGGTCTTAATAAAATAAACCGAGAAGTGAAACTGAAATTTGTGTGTGTGTGCAGTGAGTCTACAGTCCAGGAGAGATGTGGGGTGGATGCAGTACATTATCTGTCATTTCAGAAGCACTTGATCTCCCTGCTCTTGCTCATCTGTGTGCTGTCTGTGTCCGTCATCCTACCAGTCAACCTGTCCGGGGACCTGCTGGGTAGCTCGCTCATGCAATTACAAAAAAATTCAATATGGTCTCAAGAAGACTTCATACAGTAGCTTGGCTATGAACCCTAGTTTTCTTTGTCAGCAAAAGACTGACTTATAACTGTGTTCCAGGCAATGATCCATACAGTTTCGGGAGAACCACCATAGGGAATCTTAAGCAGGGGTATGTATTGTATGTGTCTATGCACATATGACTGCAGGTATCTGTGTGTGTGTCTATTTGAACTGTATTTTATATGATGTCTCCGCAGTGATAAGCTGCTTTGGCTGCACACTGTATTTGCTGTTTTATATCTCATGATCACGGTGGCCCTGCTGAGACGCCACACCTCTAAAATGAAGGGAACCAAGAGAGAGATAGTAAGCCACCCTGACATTTCTCTCTCATACACACACATACATGCTGGTTAGTGTCAGTCTAACCCTGGTTTATTTTTCCATAGGCCAGAAACACCCTGTTTGTGAGGTCTGTACCCACTGCAGCCAGCGATGAGAGTATAAAAACTCATTTTGTGTAAGTGGGATGACTTTTCCAATCTCTTTATTATTTTGAGCCATTCATCCAAACATCTTTTACATCCCATCTGTGTGTAAAGCATGATCTCAGCTTACATAATGTGGGTGGGTTGGACCTCAAAGGCAGCTTCTGACCAAAAGACTTATTGTTCAATTACAGTAATTGATTAACATTACAGATATGGATCATATTTAACAATAATAATAACAATATAATTTTGGCAGCAAATGGAATGTTCATTTGAGTGACCGATTGGTTCAAACAATGGTTTGAGTTGGGCCTGTAGTACCTGTTTGTCTGAGCAAAGTTAGACGGGGGATGTGGTTGAGAAAATTATGATTATTTTTGCAATTCTGCTTGGTGCCACTGATGTGGAAATCACTCAGTTAACTTAAGGTATTAACATGTCTTGATGTATATTTGTTTTCAGGGAGGCATACCCTACTTGTCAAGTGACTGAAGTTAACTTGTGTTATGACGTTGCCAAACTGATTGACCTGGACAGAAACAGGTGAGAGTGACAATTTGACTCAATATTATTTGTAGTTGTCCAAATATCTTATAGGACATACTCTCACTATGTCTAATAGTGTTATTTTAGTATCATTGAGATACCATTATAGTTTTTCTCGGAAGAGTTTGACATGTTAATGTGTTTGTTCTTGGCTGAATAGATATGCTACGCTGCTGATATTACGGCCAGGGCTCTGAACCGATTCAAGGAGTGAAAACTAAAAACTAAAAAAAAACTCAAAATTTTAACAGTCCAGTTTAATTGTTATGAAAAGAAATGCTAATTTGAAATGACCATTAACTGGTTAATACCAATATTTTATCGTTCTGTTTAATATTTTAATTTGGCAGTCACCCAATCATGATTTCAAATTATGTATTTTGTTCATGCATAATTTTTTCAACATCTTACTGGATGTTGTTTAATACATTCAGCAAAAGTCATAGCCATGATTAGATGGCAAATACCAGACTGATTCTTCTCAGTTCTTCAAATACATAAAACATTAGCCATTGCAAACATTGTGAAGAACCAGTTTCAAAGAACCAGTTCTTTATTTACCCTTGCACTGCAAACTGTCTCGAAACTGTGCAGGACTTCATTCACGATTGAGGCGGATGGAGCTCGGAAAGCATGCTGCAAACTGCTACATCAAACACTTGACCAACTACTTAAATGTAATGTTTTAAATACAGCAAGCTCATTGGCTACAGATGAAATGGGAACCAATCAGCTTGTGCCATTAGTAAATTATGCAATTGTTAGAAGATCGCAAGGATCTATCAGCCTGCTCCATCTAGAGTTACATGACGGACCTTGGTATTTATTTTAGTACATCAAGTTAAACTAAATGAAAATTGGCCATGCTTTTAATTTAAGATTGTTTTTAATATTAGTCAAATGTGGTAACCCTGGTATGATCATTCATATTTTAGTATTATAGTAAGAGTTCTATCATTAACTGTTTTGTTTGTGTATTTTTCTATTGTAATACTTTGTAACAGAAAACGGGCAGAAAACAACCTGCAGCATTACCGTAAGCTACTCGATCGCCAGGGACAACGTGGGGTCATCAACCCGCGCCCATGCAGCCACCTGTGCTGCTGCTGCCACTGTGAGGGGTGTGAAAAGGTGAGTACGACCATCATTAGCAGTGGCCTTGTTTTGACTTTGGGCATCTAAATAATGTGTGTGTTTGTGTGTAGGTTGATGCTATAGAGTTCTACAGCTCACAAGAAGCTGCTTTGATTGAGGAGGAAGATAAACTAAAGGAGAGTAGGCTGTCCCCTCTGGGCATGGCATTTGTCACCCTCCAAAATGAGTACATGGCCGCTTAGTAAGTGATTCACACTCAGACTCAACTGCCCATTTAAGGAAGCTATGCGTAAAAATTATGCCGGCTTAGAAGAATGTTTTTACCTGAATATATATAAGGCAGAATGAATTGCGATTATCCCGGAAAATAATCCCTACGATCGTGGATGGAGTCAAAGAAATCTTATTAATATAATTTTAGACCGAAGTATTTTCCAGTATAATTTCAGCTCATTTGGCTTTTAAACGTATGTCCTTTGTCTTTCTTCACAGTATTCTGAAAGATTTCAACGCTCTAGACTGTGGAGGCGGGACAAGGGGTGTGGTCGGAGAAGAAATGGGTGGGGGAATCACGTGCGGGTGTGGCCGAGAGCCTCAGCCGTCCTCTAAGAGTGCAGAGCTGAGGGTGCACAAATGGAAAGTGTATTACGCTCCTCACCCTCATAATATTTACTGGTATGTCCTATTATGCCTTTTCGGAGCAAAATATTTAATATTACAACCTGCTTGTTATAGACAATATAATACCCATTCACAATTCTGCTCATCATAATCTCACATTCTGTCTCTTTCAGGGAGAATTTGTCATTACGTGGGTGGCGTTGGTGGCTACGCTGTGTGCTTCTGAATGTTTCACTCTTCTTCCTCCTCTTCTTCCTCACAACACCCTCCATCATCATCACCACCATGGACAAGTTTAATGTCACCAAGCCCATTCACTATCTGAACGTATGTGATTGAACACTGCACTTATAATGATGTGTGTTTGCGCATAGATGGAGTTCAGTGCGTGTTTGAAAACGACTGTTTGTTGTTTTTGTAGAGTGCCGTTATAAGCCAGTTCTTTCCCACTCTTCTACTGTGGACCTTCTCTGCCCTGTTGCCCACTATAGTGTATTACTCTACACTGGGAGAATCTCACTGGACCAGGTAGTCATCAACACAGAAACACACACTCAAACTCAAACACGTTCACTCAGTAATGCGTGTCTTTCTGTGTGTGTAGGTCTAGTGAGAATATGAGCATGATGTACAAGCTCTACATATTTCTGATCTTCATGGTGTTGATTTTGCCATCACTGGGTCTCACCAGGTAAGAGCTCTTTAAATCTTTCTCCATATTTGTATACACACACTTTTTCTGTTTACTAACTAAGTTAAGGGTTGAGATGCACGATTAATTAATTTTAAAATGTCTCACTGTGGTTATCAACTATTTAATGTGATTTAATTAAAGGGGATATATGTACGATTTTTCATGTAACAAAAATTTAAAAAAACAAGACTTCCTAGGTTGTTTAATGAAGCCTGTAGAGTAGACTGATTTTTATGTGAAGGACTTACCGGGAACATTTATGTGACATTTGCTTGTGCTTCGGGGGAACCTCTCTTCCGTTTAATGACTCATGGAATGTTTAGGACAGTGTTTCCCAACCCTGTTCCTGGCGGCACACCAACACTGCGTGTTTTCTTTGTCTCCCTAATCAAACACACCCGATTCAACCCATCAGCTCATTAACCCACCTGATTATGAGCTGATGGGTTGAATCAGGTGTGTTTGATAAGGGAGACAAAGAATACACGCAGTGTTGGTGTGCCGCCAGGAACAGGGTTGGGAAACACTGGTTTAGGATAATGAGCTGTTCTATATGTTCTAAGGAAGAATGCAAAGAATTTAGTTAGTTAGTTCTAAGCAAAGAATGAAAAATAATTTCACCGGCATTGAATCATGTTCAGTCACTTGTACGTTATGAGTGCGACCACGAGCAATATGTTGTTGGCTGCAGTTCACTTAATGGCCACCTGTGTCGCTAATAACAATGGTTTCTGAATTCTGCATATAGTCCCTTTTAAATAAGAATACGAGCTGCCTTTATCAATGTTGATGAACCCAGTGCTGCACGTCACTCTGAAAGTGTTTTCATATTACTATTATTATATATTATTGTTATTTTTATTAATATTATTATTCGTAGTAGTAGTAGTAATATTAGGATTATTAGTAGAATTATTAGTATTATTTTCATAAATACTATTTTTTTTATTTCACAGTGAAATATTCCAATAGTAATATTACCAAATTTGTAAATTTTTTTATTTATCATTATTATTAGCATATATTTAGCAAATTTGCAGCCCTGCTACAAGCACAGCAAACCTGGAGCTTTTATAAACATTGCATTTTTTGCTCTGTTGTGGATTATAGTCTAACTTATTCAACTTATTTCATTGTTAACCTTAAAATGTCCATAAACTAATTCTTGATTAGTGTTTAATGGGTCTAAAATGTTCACAAAATCAGTATGTATTCAGATGCGCTCTCTTTCCACTCAGTCTGGACGTGTTCTTCCGCTGGTTGTTTGACAATTCGTCTGAGGGAAAGCTGAGGTTTGAGTGAGTATACTTGTGGTTTTATTCGCTCAAATCAAAATTAATTAATTCATTTTGTGACAAGCATCCTCTCTTTGTCTATCTCAGGTGTGTGTTTTTACCAGATCAGGGGGCGTTCTTTGTAAATTACGTGATCACAGCGGCTCTGGTGGGCACAGGCATGGAGCTGCTGCGGTTGCCAGGGTTACTGCTCTACATCGTGCGTCTGGCACTCGCCCATTCGGCTGCTGAGAGGAAATATGTTAAACAGGTCATTTTTTGACATCCATCCATCCCTTGAAACTGATTTAAAGAGAATTAACAGGAATGTGTTTCTGATCCACTTAATCTTGTCTCTCTGTAGAATCAGGCATACGAGTTTCAGTACGGGGCTATGTACGGATGGACTCTGTGTGTGTTCACGGTCATCATGGCGTACAGCATCACCTGTCCTGTCATCGTCCCTTTCGGTCTGATTTTTTTTTTCTTAAGGCCTGTACACATTATTAGTGTGTGTAACATTACATCAACATAAGTCAATGTTTGCAGGTCTGCTGTACTTGTTGCTGAAACACCTGGTGGACAAACACAACCTGTACTTCGCTTACCTGCCCGCCCGCCTTGACCGGCAAGTTCACCTGGGAGCTGTCAATCAAGCGTTGGCTGCACCAATCATATGCTTGATGTGGCTTTATTTTTTCTCTGTGCTCAGGACAGGTAACGTCCACTAACTGGCTGATTAAATCAATGTTTCTCAGGCGTTTTGTTTATTGTATTATTTTGTTTGATCCATAGTGTGTGTTTGTATATGTTGACTGTTCTCACAGGCTTCATGGCAGTCACGTCACTGTTCACACTAGTGGTTCTGTGCGTCACCATCTTTATCTGTATAAGCTACACTTGCTTTGGACACTTCAAATACCTCAGTCCCCACAACTACAACGTAAGCTGCTTTGTTCTGTATCAGAGTTTTGTCCGACTATTGTTATAATTGTTATAGTTTTACCATCATTTAATAGTTATTAATAAACCACCCTCATTTAATCATTTAAACCACTACACTTCTCATGTTCTCTGTTACCAAATTCAGATTTCTTATTGTATGCTATAAATATTGTTGGCTCTGTGATGTATTGCCTATTCTCCTCTACTGTAAGTTGCTTTGGATCAATACATCTGCAAAATGCACTTAATGTAATTGTGTATGTCTGTGATTCAGATTAAGGAGGAAGATGAAGACGCTGCATCATCATGTTCATCGGCAAGTTTCACATTTTTACTAGGGCTGTGCAAAAAATAATTGCGACTAATCGCATCCAAAATAAAAGTCTGTGTCTACATAATATATTTGTATGTGCTGTATTTAATTATTTTGTATATATAAATACACACACATGCATGTATATATTTAAGAAAATGTGTTATTCATATATAAAATATTTATATTTATATAATATAGATTATGTATTTATATATATATATATACAGAATTTAAGCGCAAATAATTCTTAAATATATACATGTGTGCATAGGTATTTATATATACAAAATAATTATATACAGCACACACAAATATATTATGTAAACACAGACTTTTATTTTGGATGCGATTAATCGCAATTAATTTTTGCACAGCCCTACTTTTTACATTATACATTATCACACATTTTGTTTTTAATTGATAGATTTCGTAATGACCAAAATCTTTCTTACTCTACGTAGGTGTATCTTCCTAAAGTTCTGAACCCAGACGCATCGTCTTCTGATGAGTGCAGCACTCGGCAATCTTACGGCACGACAGACACAAGCCCGCCTTTTCTCAGCACTGAGGAAGACTGTCCAAACTCTGATATCTAACAACAATTATCAGTCTACATGTAGACTGATCCGACTGCCCTTTGGAGGAAATGGTTCTTGCCATATTGGCGTTTGGAGGTCAGTGGAGATGGAGGGGGATATACTTTTGAAAAAAATCACTCAAGCTTTTTTCTTTTTTTTTTTCCCTCATGCACACTGAGAACAATGAGGAACGTTTAATCATAAACTGCCATATAACAAATGCAAAAGAGCTTTTTGGGAATAATTTCTTCTAACCAAAGAAAAACTCTGCCAATCAAACACGCTGTCCATACATTTCTACATCACAAAAGCAACTTTGCCAATGAGCACTTGCCAAGGAGTACAAATATAACTTGAGCAGATCAAAGCGCACATGAATCATGGCACTCGTGCCTTGTTGGAAACAGCTTAACATACTTTATAACTGTAATTTGTGTGTGTGTGTGTGCATGCGCGAGAGAGAGAGAAGAATGTACATATTGATTGTTATTCTTAACGTTTTCTGTTTAAATCAAAGTTTTGTATACATATGTTAATATATTGATATTGATATTGAGCTCATGGCTCAGTGGCCGTTCATTAGTCATTCTATAATTTAGGGTATATTTCACATCAGCAAAACATGTGTAAAAACAACATGCTTTCTCAATAAAACAGCTATTGGTTTCAGTTTATATAGGGTGTTTAGGTAGTAATATAGTAATATAGTTTTTGCGGACATTAATAAAATTGATATATTTTCTTATTTGAAAGAAAATTGAATTAAACTCAAATCTATTTTTCTAAGGTGTTTAGATTGTAGAAATACATTTTAACTCAATCTATTTTTCTAAGGTATTTAGATTGTAGAAATAAATTTAATATGGATGAACATTTTTTTATCCATTATTTTGAACTCGATGCCCCCTCTCCAAAATGTGGACATTGCAAAAACTGTGATTTAAGGGATACAAAGGCAATGTCAAGCAAACTGAAAAACTGTATGCATAAAATATCGGTGTGACATTATAGTGTGCATTCTCTTAATGGACAAAATATGAAATGTCAAGATTTGTTTTTTTATCAGAGGACATGAAATGTACCCTAAATTGTAGAATGACCCATTTGTGTGTCTTCTTGTGTATATATGGTTTATGAGGACACAAATGTGTATAATGACAGGTATTTCAACGTCAACATGGTTTATGGTTTACTTCCTGGGACCCCATAAATTGTGTGTGTGTGAAAGAATGAATAGAATGTATTTGGCTCATAAGTGGCTTTTTGAAGGCTTCATCACTAGGTGGCGCTGTTGCTTTCTGATTGTTCTTGGACTTAGAGCAATGGCATAATGTCAATTTCCAGAGAAAAAGAATTGTGCAAAGATTGAATTTACAGTAAGGCACTTAGAATGACGCAAACAGGGCAATGCATAAACCTTAAAATGCACACTGCTTCGAAAGTACAGCCTCAATACTTACGCATTCATGAGACTAGTGTGATATCACTTGCTATGTAAAGTTCAACTTAAGTGTCCTGACCACATAATGCCTGTAAACCCGGTAACTTTTGCATGATATCCGCAAGTATACCAGAAATAGACTGTTTACATGGAGCAAATTCTAGTTTGCAAATTTATACACCTAGAAAAGTGTTCCTGTGTCAAAGGATTATTTAGAAAACATTGATCAGAAACAGGGCTTTGCTAAAAAAAAGTTACATTTCTCCTTTTAACTGTAATGCAAAGGGAAGATGTTGTGTGTATATGAAGAGAAACTGTTGATATGGTTCCTGTGCATGTGTTTTAGTTCTGTATTAATTATATGATTGGAACAGAAACCCAATTGTTTGATCATTTAAACTGCTCAACCTCAAGTCTCATAGTCTTAAGCCTCAGATTTTCCTGGAAATGGATGAATGAATGTTCTCCACTCACACACTTGACACATTTGTCCTGACTGCAGTTTTCAGCTCATTAGTCAGGAAGGATAGAGCAAAATCGTCTTACTTTAACACCATAAACAGCCCACAAACTCGGTGGCCAGAGAGAGTGACCTGCTACGAACACCAGGATCAGTGTTCAAAACTCCATAACAGAAACTGATCTAATGACTGTGTGTGTCTGTCATTTGCAAACTTTTTTTTCTTTTCTTTTTTCGAGGCAATGACAGCCAATAGTAAAGATTTCTTCCAGTGTTTTGCCTGTTGCCATTCAGGAAGGTCAGCTTATAAAGCAGGGTACCATCATGTTGAAAAGCTGGCTTCACTTTTAGGTTGCCAAATATTTTATTGCACAGACAAATCGAAACTTTAAGCAAGTTAAGCTTAAGCTTTAGATTGGTGAAAGTCAAAAATCTAAGTTGCGATAGTATTTTCTTCCCTATTGAGATGTATGAGTGAAACGGCTTCTCGAATAAGAAAAATACATGGCGGTGCTTGATTCTGTCCATGCGGATTTGATTGCATGGTTCTGGTTTGCTATTGGTCAATCTCATGTGAGTGACAGGCTGACCCACCCTCACATCAGTAAACGCATCATCCGAGAGGAGAAGCGATGGGCACATGAATGGACAAATCATGTATAATCAACATTGCAATGTTCCATAATACAATAAGAATTGTCCATTTTTATATCATAGTGACTTTTTTTATAAGTTTTTTTTTTTCCTGGATTTGGGCGTGTAATAGGACGGATCTTTATACAAAACACTTTTTAAATCAAACATCACAGATCTTACACTACAGGTCACATTTTAGTGTTAAACCACATATGCACAATCATATACATGTCGTTTTACAACTTCAGTTCATTCTGTGTGAGCTAGAAATAACAGCATTTACAGTCTTTGACACCATGTTAAACCCTAATAGACTCTAATGCCAATATGAAACTTCAGAGAAAAGATGCATTTGAGTCAAACAAAGAATTTCGGTAATCGTTTATAAGGACTGAAAACATGCGGAGAGCAGGTCAAGTTTCACTGAATGGTGTTTGTTGGGGGCCTCAAGGTGGCAAAACTCCCAGACCAATGCATTCTGGTTATAAAGTAAGTCAAGTGTTGGCAGCTGAAGCCAATCTAGAAAACCCTTATTGCACCTCTACAATAGTGAAAACATCTGCTGGAGGCCTGGATGGAAATCAATGATTAAGAAAGTAAATAAACACTTTTTTATTATTAGTTTTGCTTGCTAAGACAAGCACCACTGTTACTATTCCTAATGATTATGGATTTAAACAAACCCATAATACTACATATAAACTTCACAATGTAACTCAACCATTGCTGTTTTTTTTTTGCCCTAATCATGAATGATAAATCACACTTTTTTTTTCTTCATATGACAAAAAAGGTAGGAAAAAGTTTCATTGAGGAGAGATTCAAGTTGTATAGAGACCATAGAAACCATATAGCAACACATTAGAAACAGTTTACAAATCATCATAGTGATATTTGTACAGAGAAAAACCTAAGAAAGTACTATTTCTTAATCCTGTAAACTGGGCTCTGGACAAGTGGACATGATATGGATTCTGTCATGTAGCTCTCTGTCATAGTTGAACATGCGCACACACACAAAAACACTGAATGGCTCATCTCCAGCTGTGTTTGGTCTTTGAAACTACAGGAACTACTTATTATTGCATTTGTATGTGATGTCTTGAAATAGCCCAAAGATGATTCACCCCTCCATTAACACAGACGAAGATGTTTCCTCCTCTCCTCCTCTTTTCAGATGGTGCACGCTCTTTTCAGAAGCCATGATTGATGCCGCCTCTGACCCCGTGACCCGGAGTACATATGACTGATCTCTATGCCAGCCAACCACAAAGCCCGACGGCATTGATTTCCCCTTCTGATCCCTCCCTTTTGTCTGCTGGGATTATTCCCATGGCAACGCCGGTGGTCCGTAAGGTAACGTTCTCAGAGCCGAGAGTAATAGACCCTCGCCAAGCCCTGGGGGTAAACTTATTCCACTTCACCCAGACTTTAAGGGAAAACTAATAGCAAAGTTTTGTTTCCTTGCCAGACGTCTCTTAAGGTTTGCAGAGTTTACTCAGCGAAGAAACAGAGCCAGAAAGAAGAAGAAAAAAAAAAAAAACGAGAAAAGAAACTGAAGAATTAGAGGGAGAATTCCCAGATTGGGACATTTGCTCTATTATCTGATCGTCAGAATAAGGGATTGTTCACCAAAACCATTTCTGACTTGTTCTCTGTCATCATTTACTCAACTTTGTGTCATTGAATATGATTTTTTTTTTGCTCTCAATTCCCATATATTTTTCCGTATATGGAAATGTGTCGATGGTTTCCTGTTATCTGACAGCATGGTGCTCATGAAAGTCATGTGGAAGTCTTTTAAGGGCCATTCATTGACACAGAACACATTTTTGTGGCAAGGTCTAGAGACACGTTTTTTAAAAGTAGAAATTATTTTAGCTTTGTGTTATGAGAAGTCATGCACGAGACAATGCAAAAGATGTCAGCACACCGTTTAAATACAGTTGTCTAGTGCATTTGCATTGAAAAACAATGAAAAACTAGGGCAGTGGAATGGAAATTTGTGTTGTGTGAACGGCTCCTTATGGTGCTTTTTGTTCGTTTGGAGCTTGACAACTTCTTTTACGTTTACTCCACATGACTTTCATGAGCACCATGTTGAAGATAACAGGAAACCATCGACACATTTCCATATACGGAAAAATAGATGGGATTTGAGAGCAAAAAAAAAAAAAAATGGAATGGAAATTTGTGTTGTGTGAACGGCTCCTTATGGTGCTTTTTGTTCGTTTGGAGCTTGACAACTTCATTTACTTTTACTCCACAGAAAAAGGTGATCTGAATATTCTGAAAAACATCTTTTGTGTTCCACAGAAGAGAAGAACGTCATATGGGAACAATGTAAGGGTGAGTCAAGGAATTTTCATTTTTGGAAAAACTAACCCTTTAAAGTAACTCTGGTTCCACTGTAAAGAAAACATGGTTTACTCTTATAGAAAACTGTAAAAAAAAAAATCTAAATAAAAACGGAAAAGGTACTAGTAATTTCCTGTAACCCTAAAACACAATACAATGCATAATTTAAAACACACGGAAAACACCTGTGAATAATCTATATGGAATATTTAATCATATTAGCACAGTACATTTGACCCTATTTTACAGATAGTGTAAGTTATAAGTATACAACTATAAGTTATAAGTATATAATATAAGCCCCTATACATAATTACTATAATAGCATACAAATAATGCTAAAAGGCTTTTGTATCCATGCCAGAGGCGTCTATTTACGTCAAAGTTTGGTCAAGCAGCAAAACCTAAACAGAAGTTAGTGCACCTTAATCGGTCATGTTGATTACTACCGACTGAGACTAGCATGAGACAAATCTTGTCCCAAAATTGAAATCCAGACATCTTTACTTCCTCTCCACCCTCATTTCTCTCTTCCTCTCCTCCTCATCCTCCCCTTCCTGTCTCAAATCTTCCCCCGTTCGTGGTCTTTCAGGAGGGCTTGCGCTTTGTGAGTTATAGCCCGAGGCGGGTGTGATGTTGTCGCCACTAATCTCCTGTGAATGAGGCTGTCCGTCTGTGTGCGTGTTGAACTTGTGTGCCGCTAACTCAACGGGGCCTTTGTGGCTAACCGTTCCTTGACAGCGCTGAAGTACCGTTCCTAATCACAGTAATGCAGACATACGAGTCTGCTAGTGCGCACACACACGGATCCGCTTTAAGAGAATAGAGAGTGCTAAGCACTTGACACCTGTAACGGATGTTGCTTGTCAAGGTTTTACTGTGCAGGAAAGCTTATAGCACACATGCAGTTTCCAACCTATTAATGTAAACCCAGATTTACGGTTCATCAGCTCCTGTAGGTAAATAACCTGTAGAAGAATAACAAAGTGCAGTAAACGGTAAAACTATTTGCGTTATACAAACCAGTGTGTATATTAGCCTATTATGATAATGAAATTAAAATAATATGATGACAATATAAACTGCTTAACTTGTAATAATAAATGTACTAAGTGTATGAAGTTAGAACCGCCACGATACTAACAATTTAATCCTTAAATTAAAAGGAAAATAAGAAATTAAGTTTTTCCTAGAAAAAAAAAATTAAACTTTTTTTATTTATTGCATTGTATGCATTTATCTTCATGACAATTATGTAATTTCTATTTAGTGTAATGATTATTCTCATTACTGCAATACATTAATGCAAATCATCCTGGCCAGACACAATTATTAGATTTTTTTTTTTAAATAGTTTTTAGTTTAATGCAGCATGAATCGAAAGCAGTTCAACAAATGCTGTCATGATGTATAAATACTTCACAAATTTATCTATATGTAAATTTGGGGATGAAATGTTCTTAATTGTTATTAAAATAGTCACAATACAAATAAATAAATAAATACAATTATTATTATTAATATATAAAACTATAATTGCCTAAATGTTTTGTTTTTTAATTTTGGGGTGAAATATGAATTTAGTGTAAGGGCAGTAAAACTAACTAACTTGAATAATAAATAGATATATATTTAAAATTATGATAATTTAACTTATGTCAATCTGATTAATCGTGATTAATCGCATTTAACTTTAAACATTTTATTTGTTTATATATATATATATATATGCACACACATGCACAGACATACAGTAGGCCTATATATAATATATATGTAAAAATATAATAATATATATTAACCTTATACAAACACAAAGTTTAATGTTAGATGCGATTAATCGACTTGACAGCACTAATAAAACTATCATTACTTTTTTTTTTCCATGATTTTGGGTTGAAATGTGACTTTGATAAGGTTTCTATAATGCATGTGCAAAAGCGAACTCAAACTTCCCTCGCTAGGCTCTGTTTGCTATCATCATGTGTTCACAACAGGCAGCTGACTTCTCCCGTCACCCAGGGCTGCTGTTAACAGCACAGTTCACACGTTCGGTGTGTGAAGCTGTTGGTATCACGCAGAGGGCATTAGGTCGCACAGAACACACATCCTGCCAGCTGTGTCAGATGCTTCCTGTTTGTCTCTCTCAACAGATGAAGAGCGACCGATCTGTTCATCACACATGCTAAGAAAAAATTATAAACATATATTTACATGATATTTTTAAAAAGAATATTATATATCTATAATGTAAATATATTGCTATGTGAGCAATAAACTATTAATGTGTTTCTCAAAAGTTAATTTTCTAAGTAAGATATTTCAGTTTGTACCTCTAGTGAGCTGAGTGTCTATGAGTAGCTATAGCAACAGACTACTAGGGCTTTTGTTTACCTTAGCAACCACAGAGTCACTGGAGAGACTGACGGTGATTAGCTTGCTAGCTGCAGCTTTCTAACAAGAAAAATAAATACAAATTACTCAAATATTAATTTCAATTCTTTTGTAAATATATATTTGTCAGTGAATAGAGATGGACTCTGATTCTTTGCATTACTCTTTGGATTTAACTGCTGGTAATGGTTTGACTCTGAGCAGCGAGCAGAGAGCTGCTCTTCAAACCTCTCTGGTCATACTGAAGAGAAGTTACAAATTCAGCCGGGTTTTATTTTGGGGAAAGATTTTGGGGTTAAAATGTGACTATTTTATTGCTCAAGGTGTTGAAGAGGATGAAATGAAGGGAAAAAAGTCTTTGTACAGGTAAGAAATCATGCTTATTCTTTATATAACTGCTTGTTATTAACTCATTGTGATTGTGTATAATGCTGGGCTGTAACCACCATAGACATTTAGGGACATTTTAGATATACAAGTAAGAATGAATACATCCTTATTATTATTTGTTTTATTTATTTATTTATTTGTTTTTATTTATTCAATGAATAATTCCCCTTTAATACTTTAATTACTTAATGTTCAATACATGGTTGTGACCTTGCCTTAATGTGTTACAATTTCAATACAGTTCAATAGGTTTTATAACTCAATTCATTTTGTAGATATGATCTTTATATTAGGGCTGTACAAAAATTAATTGCGATTAATCGCATCCAAAATAAAAGTCTGTGTTTACATAATATATTTGTGTGTGCTGTATATAATTATTTTGTATATATAAATACACACACATGCATGTATATATTTAAGAAAATGTGTTATTCATATATAAAATATTTATATTTATATAATATAGATTATGTATTTTTATATATATACAGAATTTAAGCGCAAATAATTCTTAAATATATACATGCATGCATAGGTATTTATTTATACAAAATAATTATATACAGCACACACAAATATATTATGTAAAGAGAGACTTTTATTTTGGATGCGATTAATCGCAATTAATTTTTGCACAGCCCTACTTTATATATTAAATTAATTAAATATTTTATATATTTTAGTTTTGTAGTTTTTTCTCAATTCCATTATTTCTTTAATCTTTTTAGTGAGTTCTTTCTAAAATAATTTTTGATTCTGTTTGTCTGTCTTTCTATCTTTTTTAATCATTAAACAGTTTAAACTGCTTAGATTGGTACCTGCTGCCAAAAGCCACTGAGTCCATGACTGCAGACGTGGCATTAGCCGCACAGGGGCGATTCACGGGCGACCCGTCCCATGAGTACGAGCACACAGAGACACGCACTGAGGGAGAGGGGGACGAAGCCACGGAGGTAGAGGTCACGGTGAGAGGACTCGCGGACCATTGGAATACACGACACAGATGGGGCTATAATAAGCATGAGGAAACAGGAAAATAGATTCAGCTAAATTATTAAAAGCTCATCTTGGTTTATTTGGTGCATCTGCACTTCAAGATGGTGGCATGTTTGTGTCTTTTATAAAATGCAGATCTTACTTCGCTGATTTTTAGAAATCAAAGTATCTAAACATTTCGAGGGAAAGTAAAACACACGCACGCACACACAAAGCATGATGAATGTTGTGTTTATGTGGACGTGGTAATGTTTGGATGTAAAACAACTGTTATTATTTATGCGGTTTTCTGTTTATCCATGGTTTATAATGTAGTAAACATGGTAGATGGCAGGCGGCTTGTTGAATGTTTATAGAGCGACTAACATGGCTCCCTTTCTGCAGGTGAAAGTGAATGAGGCGAGTCGATTGGCCACGACCGTGTCAAACATCGATAGAGATGTGTCTGTAGTGCCACGCGGTGCATTTACAAAGAGTCCCAGTGGCAAAGTGCAGATGAACCGAAGCTTTGGAGGTATGCTTACAATCAAACCCTTAGAAGTGTTTGTATATGCTTTCCACCGGAAATCAGATGCAGCTGTGTGAATTTAAAACTAAAGTGAAATGAAATGTCACTTTGAAAAGTCACTTTCTTGTATCAGTCTTCAGTTCATCTCTTTATGTTGTCATTTATTTGAATGATCCGACCCCAGATCAGTTTTAAGTTTGGCACATGATCGCAGGTCTACATCCCACTGAAGCTGCGAAACTTCGCAACTACCTGCACTTTCGTGAACCGGTTAACCTGAAAAAGAAGTCCATCTTAGAAATGTCTGATCTGAACCCCGCTCTCGACTTCCTAGATCCTTTGAGTGAGGACATTCCCAAAGGTAATTAAAAGGAATGATCTTTCATTACCTTTATGTGGATGATTTATTCTTGATGCTGTTTTATTTCCAGGCACAATATTTTTTCTGAATGTCCTTGTGGAGGTTTCCAGTCCCCACCCTGTAATGAAACGTTGGCACTGAAGTCCGACCCCTCTTTTGCTTTAGACTTTATAATTCAAAGGTGAACAACACCTGTTAACACCACTATACTTTCCCAAAAATTATGCTGACATGAAAATTGCATTTAGGAAGTCTTAATAGTGGTGGGAAATATGAGGATGGTGCAAAAATCCTTCTGCAAAGCATCCCATGATCCCTGTTGCTGGATTTCCCTGTGTTAGTGACAGATATGATTTGGCAGCTGCCTAAGGCCGAGCGAAAGCCAAGGAGACATCTGGGGTGTTGTTCGGCAAACTATGATCCCATTGTTCTCTTTTCTTTCTGGGAAGAAGCGTTTGAGGGATTGCCATTTTCTACATCAACGATAAATTTCCCGTCTCATATATCTTGGTGTGTCTTCCTGCAATGTTTGTCATTTGGGAGTGAACTAACAAAGCAATTATTCAGAAAACTATTCGCCTGGCCATGTTGTTCTCCGCAAATGCAAGTCAGACATAAGCTTGCTGAAAGGTATTCGTCCAGCTCGCTTCATGAAGCAGACCACTACTGATTGTTTAACATCGAGTTCCTCAAGGAATATCTGGTTCTGCTGATCCTGAATCTTAACCAGATGGATTCAGATTTGTTTAACACACCGAGCAAAGCACTAGAACATCATTGAGCTTTCCTGAAAAACATGACTCTGGCATTTATGCCTCATAGAGCCCTCGTTGCAAGATTAATAGTGACCTCCTTCGAAATGCGACCTTAAAGTGTAAAGATAGTTGAGGTAGGAGAAGTCTGTGATCACCCATCAAGGCCTACGTGAGTTATAGGATAAAGAAGCATTTCCTCACAGGGAATATTGTTATCGGACTCCGATTTAGAAGCCAAATGCTGCTTTGTTGTTTCTCGGTCGAGTTTGAAGGCACAGTCACCCTACTGGAGACATGCCCAGACTTAGAAACATCTCAGCTGTTTCATTAAAGGAGGCGATCTGTCCTTTATCTCTCTCTCTAAGGTATAGCCCCTCACCTCAGGCAGCTCCCAACTAGGCTAAGTTGATTTGTTTCGTCTTTAAAAACTGAAAAAGTAGAGCAGGTCTCAGACAGAAGGTATTTATCCGCCCTGAGTAACAGTTTTTCACTTTTTCCCCTTGACCAATCAGGTGGAAAAAAAACCAATCCCCTCTCAAGAAGTGCCAGAGGTGAACAGGTTCATCTGGACTTCTCAAATAGTGGGTAAAGGAGACTGGGAATGGCAGTGGTATTTACCGCTGCCCTCCTTCGGCTTCACTCGGGTTTCCTTGAATGTGGTCTGGACGAGGAAAAAGTTGTGAGACTTCTCAAGAACTTGGACAGGCAGAAATTTTTGTATAACCACATGGTTTTTAAACAAATATATAACATATTAAGCGAAATGGTTTTGTTCAGTGTTGATGGAAGTATCTTGTCTGATCTTGCCAGTCTTATCTAATATCTAATTTCTCGGACGAGAAAATCGAATTACCACACATTTTTCTCAAAAGCTTTTCTTACTAGCATAATGTCATGGTCGTGTATTTTGATGAGCTCTCTATAGAACTGCAGTCTGTTAAATATTTGGACTCATAATAATTCGAAGAGTCACAATGGACATTTTTGTAGACTTTTGAGTGTTTTAGGTTAAACACTGTTAGCAGTTAATGTTCAGAGCTGCAGTTCAAACACAGACTTCATTGGCACGGGGCTTTGCGGTACTGGGCACGAGCCAATGTCGGCAGCTGGATGCAGGGGCCACCCAGACAGAAAGACCCCAGAACGCCTCTTCTTTATACACTGCTGTGATGATAGTTATCCATAACTGAGCCAACTCTCTATCACACCACTTTCTTCTCCCGACTTTACTCTGCTGCTGTCACACTATCAGAGTCTGGACTCTGTCAATTGTTAGGTTTAATGGTTTAAAATTCAGGTTCAGTTTATGCAAAATGCTTTTTGCTCTTTGATCTTGCACAGTAGGATAATTCTAGTCATTTTTTTTTTCATACTTTGTTTGTTCTTCATGCAGGGTCATGGAGCCTGCAGCTTGAGCGGGGCGGCACTGTGTGTGTATTACGCAGTTTGCTCTGGTTGGGTCTCACCTCCTTCCATGTTCCTCAGACCCCTCAGCATGGGTACATCTACATGGGAGATGGACTTATAAACCTGGACCTGCCCTTCATGTTATAGCAGCCAAACTATCTCCTTGTTTTTGGTGCCACATTTTAAAGACAGCACAAGTTATTGTGTAATCAACTCTGTGGCCTTACATTCACTGTAATTTTCTTTCAGTCAAGAAAACATAAACACGTCAACATGTTTGGAAAGTTGGAGTTGCGTTGGTGTTTCAACCCTTAAAGCAGACACGAAAGTGTACCTTGCTTTCTCTCTGGCAGAAACACATGCACACTTAGTAACAGCTGCTATTGAGGTAAACAACCATTTTATTTGCACATCTGCCTTTCCAAATCAGACACTGGGAAGGGTAACCAAAATCAGAGGGATGAACAAAGATGTTTCAGTGCTCTCTGGTTCATCAATTTACAGTCTTTTTGAGGTAATGAACTACATGAAAAGGTGCAAATTCTTTGCCATTGATCCTCTCTGTCCCATAAAGGAAGTCACTGTTTCAATTGGGTAAACAGCTCTGTACATCATTGCTTTATGTACAGTGGTTTAGGGCCGTATCTGACGTTGTTTTTCAGGGCGGGATGTCCGACATTCATTCTCTTCTTACACCATTTCAGCCCTTTCTTGAAGATGGGCTTCACAGACTTCACAGAGTAACGTGTCAGATACCTGAAAAAGACCGTAAGAGACAGTTAGATTTGTGGGAGGCACCCAATATAAAAAAAGGCACAAGCAAATATGGCTCATCAAATGTGTGACATTATAAAGCGCTATTTGGTGCTGTTGTGGCATCTGAGGTGATCGTACCGGTTGAGAGGTGGGTTGGGTTTAGGTTTTGGAACATGGCCTTCAGGTAAGGGGGGTTTATGATCTGGTAGGAGACCTAGAAAAAAAATAGTAGCTGACTTATTGTAATTATTAATGTGTACATCAAAACAGATAAGGGTAGTGATGCTTAAATCAAGATATTTTTAAATGTTTGTAATGTATAAGGGAAAGTGTATATCTGACTGGCTACCATAAAACCATTATAGATATTGTATTACATCCATTTTATTGAAATTGACACTGACAACTGACTGTTTTCACACAACAAATAGGGTAACATCAGATTAAATCTCTCAAATGAAAGTTCCAACTCACCTGCCCGATGGGCCATCTGTACACAAATTGCTATCTTGTTATGTTCCTGAGCACAGAGGCCTGTAATGCGCCGGGGAAGCATCCCGCCATCTGAACGAATGAACTGACTAAGTAACAGCACGTCCTGCATCATGTATGAGAATAAGAGAGACAAGTCTTAAAGATAATGAGATACAGGTAATGGTTTACACATGTGCAAGCACTTACGGTGTAGTTGTATTTGTTCTGCAGGTTCCATCTGTAGATAGGACAGGCAGCTTTGGGATTGGGAGGTTGTGGTTGTTCCGATGTAGGCTCTATAACACCTTCAATCTGAGAAAATAGTGAAAAAATATGCATTATATTTTAGGCCTGGTTTCACAGAGAGGGCTTAGACAATGGCACTGACATATTTTAAGAAATGTCAGTGCAAATTGCTATCAGTAAAAACAGCTCAAAAATGCATTTTAGTTTGGGACTAGGCTTAAATCCCGTGTGTGAAACCGGGACTAGCATAATTGCTGGTTCAATCCAAAGAAGAGATGAGACAGACAGTTCTATTCTGGAAGCTTGAAGGACCATCATTGCAACTGGAATATATTGTTTTGTTTATTTCATGATAAATTGCTTTCTAAAATGTGCATCTGGGACGCTACTTACAACTGTTGTTTTGCCCTCCTTGTTCTCCACCACTGTGAAACACAAAATGCACAAGAATTTATAACACCCCATGATGCAGCAGACATTCAGAATGACACAGAAGTAAACTTCTTGCTTTGATAGCATTAGAGAATGCAATTCAAAATGTAAAAACTGCTTTTATTTTGCATTCTTCTAATTTATAGGGTTGGTTTTTTTTTTTGGATAGAAATTATGTTAATCGGCAAAACTGCGTAAAACGTTAGGTTGATAAATCAACTTCTCAATTTCTTTGTATTTTTATACGTCAACGTATTATTCTAATAACAACATGCATTCTGGAAAGTCTGTGCAAAACCCATTGACTGACGACAGAGCACCGACTAAACTGGCTTATTTGATTAACTTAGTGGCTTAAAATTGTGTAGATAGAATGTTAAATATGTCTTATGTCCTAGACGTAATAATATGTCTTTAAAATGTTCTATTGTATTTCAATTCAATAAACTTAATTGTTCTATTATATCGCAGATTTTCAAGATGCGCTCATGCTTTAAAGCAGCACTAAGTTAGATATAATTATAATATAATACATAAAGAGGACGATGCTATCATGTCTCGAAATCATACTCCAGTAAACTCACCATTTCTAAGTCCACGACACGACACACTACCCAAAAAAGAGAACTGTGGTATCCTCTGAAATAAGCCCTTGTTGATGATATCGCTTTGAACGGACCTCAGCACTGTCCTTGCGGACTGCACAACACAGCGCGCCGCCATTATCAGACAGTCGCTTCCTGGTTAATTACGCATTTCCGCCTCCTTGTGAAACGTGAGTGGAGCGCCAGTGTTGTGTGGCGGCGTTTGGCGGTTAATGCAAATTCGTCATCCTAGGAAATAATTCATTAAGTAACTTAACGTCTTGTACTTTGTCTCTGAACGCTTTGTGAGGTGTGAATAACATTAATAAACCCTGCTCCATTTCACTAGCTTTCGTTTTTAACTTACGCGGTTTATTTCATTTTACAGGAGTACCTTAAGCACCAGGTAAACACACGTTTAACAGTTAACGTTTTAAAACAATTACTAAACTACATTTATTAAGATTAATTACGATCTTTTTGTGCAGATATGGCATTCATTACAGTTTGTCAAACTGACTGACGATGTATTTTCTGGGAGAACCATCTAGACGAGCAGATGTCAGTTAAAGGTAGGCTAAGTTAAGGTGAGTTGATGACTTGTAAACAGACTGTATTTTGTAAGTGTGGCATTATTTGACATTGCAATATATTTTTAATTCAAATTTATTGTATATTGCTTTAATGAGAAAAGAGAAAATTGAAATAAAAAAATAAAAACAGCTTAAACAGATTAGCAAAGGTAGATTTAGTAGAGGTACATTGCTTACATGTTTTACATTCACTGTGTTCAGAGAAACAGGTGTGGAGATACGAATAAGTTGACCACAATTACTGATAGCATTAGTAAGATTACTTTTATAATTTGATTTAAACACAGTAAGCTATAACCATGTGTAGCCCAGTTTTTGCTTTTGCAACAGTTAAAGACCTTGTGCTTATCATGAATTTAGTGGAGGCAAAATCTTCTGTAAGAGCAGATTTAGCTACAGTAACAGACGCTTACGTTAAGTTAAATATCTTATCTACTGTCTACTAGCACCACATGAATCAAGACAATTCAAAGAAATTAAAAAAGGTTAAGGTGAAGAATTAACTCGTTTTATCTGACTAGATATCTTTCAGGAGCAATAAACATTGTGCTGTGATTTGTATTCACAATAGAGTATAAAGGCACTTTGTGGTGATGCAGTGATTTATTCACATACTATCTGTCACCAGTCATGGACTTTTTAATTGTTATTTATTACAGTTTTATTTATTAGACTTTTTATTACAGTTACCAAACTGCACCTTCATAACTAGACTTAAGCATCCATCAATGTCTAAGTGAAAGTTCTGAAAGTCATTCATGAATTCAAATCAAGTTTTATGTAGTTTGATCTAGACAGATTGAAGTTGATTTACAGTGTTGCTTTCATTAAAACATCTCATATAAACTTACCAGAGATTTACAGATGTAAGATTGTCACTGTTTCTAATACTGGAAACAATTGTGTCTCTGAATGTTTTTGAATTGCTTTTTAATATGAATACTTTTCATAAATCGTATTAATTTGAATCCGACAGAGCAAAAAGGTTGGACTCAAATTACAGTTTAGGTATGAGGCAAGACTTCACTCTGAATTTATGAGGACTGTGTGGTCTGGAAATGCTTTTCTTCCAGATGTTTTCAGATTTTCACAGTGTGTAAAATTCATTGATTTGTATGCTTGGAGAGGGGAATAACCTCAAATATATCTACAGTGTCTTGATTGGAAATGATATAATAAATAAACATATAATATGTGTTGATATGAGATGTTTTTTAGACATTAAGCCTGAAGTGGAGTTTTAGTTTCAAACACCCTGAAGCAGTTAAACAATGATGTAGACAAACTGTAAAAATCCCTAACTACCTTCAGAAGACCTTCAGAAAAAATGACAGAGCTCAACGACACAGGAACATGTCCTGACATTCTCTTACGGTGTTTGAGATGCAGGTGTTTTGCCTTGAGTTTTTGTTATTTGATTGCGATTGTAGAATCTTTGCTGACCCCCTATGTCCCTCATGTAAACAGACTTTCACAAAACATGTAGATTAGGAGACAGTGAGACAGGCATTATGTGATTATGCATGTGGATGCTACATATATTGACATCAAGGAGTTTTCATTTTGTTCAGTTTTCTTTTTATTATAAGCTGAATTGTGTTGGTTGAAAAGAAAAACCTCTAGACAGAAAAGGCAGTCTTACTGATGGTAGGTGATAAAATGGCTCATAGATTTGGTCATCATCTTGGTGTAATCTCACAAAGAAAGGCCTTTTTGTGCGTTTGTAAAATTACGTAAAAAGCCTTCTCATTTATCTCTCCTCACTTTTAAGGGAACCGCGAATGCCTGACCACCTTATTCACAGTCCTTGGCAAATATCTCAGTAGTACTGATGGAAATGGATGTTAACAAAGTCGTCTCTTTAGTGAACAAGCACATAAATTCACACGGATAGTTATTGGCCATTACACTGGCGCCCTTGATCTGGTGGACCTTTTGAATTTCTGGCAGCTTCGCTAAAGTTATTGGTGTGTTGAATAATAGGCTCCTCTTGTACTTTCACACAAAACAGTCGATTAGAGAGCTCTTATGGGGTTGTTGAAGCCCTCTGGTTGTTGTTATTATGTCTGTCCATCTTGATTTACTGATGTAGGTGATGTAGTGTGTATCACTGAAAGAGGGCAGATCTCTTAAAAATAAAGGGAACTTCGAAGAGATTTCACGCAAAGACTTTCAGATTCATGACGACATATCTTGGGA